TTCTTTGCTGTGGTCTGCAACAAATAAAACCTTCACTTGAACGATTACAGCCTGAAGTCTCTTTAGTTTCAGAATAGAAACAGTTTTAAGCTGAGTGGCCTTCTTCTCCAGGAGAAACAGATGAAGATGATCAGGTAATGCAATCATTTTTGGCAAAAGGTCCACAGCAAGATGCAAACATGTTCAACAAAGATGTGCAGATTCAACTATCAAAACCACAGATTTGTACTAAAACCCTTCAGATAAAACTACGTTATTTTTCAGATTTTAAAACATTCACTTGTAGAACTGGTGAGCAGGGAACCCTCTTACTTTCATGCAGTCTTCTCTTTATGAGGAGTGTTCTCTTGGTTGGCTGTTGTGAAGGGGTTTCTCTTTCTCATGGAAATTACTCTACAATCATCCACCACTGTTGTTTTCTGAGGGATTCCAGGTCTTTTTTGCATTGATGAGTTCTGTACATTTTGCCACTCCTAATATTGTAGCAATTTCTCAGGTAGGGTTTTTTCTGTTTTCACAGCTTAAGGATTGTTTAACCTGCATGAAAAGCTTCTTTGATTGAATGGTTTCTTCACAACAACTCCAGACCTTTTATCTGCTTAATTGAGAATGACATAACGAAATTGCCACACCTGCCCCTGGAAAAGGCTTTGAGTCGATTGTCCAGTTATTTTCGGTCCCTTTAAAAGCAGGATGGGCACATGAGCTGAACTCCAAACCCTTCATCCAATTTTGATGTGGATACCCTCAAATGAAAGCTGAAAGTCTGAACCTATAAAAAGGTGGTGATCCTGGTGTGCTAAACAATTACCGTCCCATTTCAAAACTTTGTATTTCATCCAAGGTTTTTGAAAAACTAGTTAATATTCAACTTAAAGATTATTTGCAGGCAGCTAATATCCTGTCATGTCATCAGTCTGGTTTTAGGAAACAGCACAGTACAGTTACAGCCACCATAAAAGTTGTAAATGACATCACTGAAGCTTTGGATGCTAGTCACTACTGTCTAAGGCATTTGACACAGTTGACCATACTATACTTTGTCAAAAGCTGACATATATTGGTTTATCAGATAATGCTGTAAATTGTTTTTCTAATTATCTGTCAAATCGTAGTGAGTGTGTGCAACACAGGTTTGTCATCTRATTGTTTAAATATCACAAAAGGTGTACCACAGGGTTCAGTTTTGGGTCCTACTCTGTTTTCAATTTATGTAAACAGTGTCAGGGATAAAATTACTGATGCTTGTACACATTTTTATGCTGATGACACTGTGGTTTATTCCAAAGCAAATTCTGTAACTGCTATGCTCGTACATCTTCAGTCTGCATTTGACATTATTCAAACGTTTTGTTTTAATGACCTTTCTGCCCCTGTTGGACTACTGTGACGTTGTTTATATGAATGCACCTGTCACCTGCCTACACATGTTGGATGCTGTCTATCACAGTTCATAACAGGATGTAAATCTTTCACTCGTCACTGCACTTTATATTCTAAGGTATGCTGGCCATCATTAACAATTTGTAGGCCCATGCATTGGTATATTTTTATATATAAAACAATTTTGGGATTGTTCTCGCCTTACTTGTCCTCACTTAGACAGTCCGGTCACAGGCTATGCTCTCAGGACTTGCTCTCCTTCAATGTTTCATTAGTACGGTCAGAACTTGGRAAAAAGGCATTCTCTTACTCTGCTCCGTCAACATGGAACGCTCTACAGCAGGATCTGAAGCTACGTAMTTTGATTCCCTCGGGACAATTCAAATTCCTTCTAAGACAAAAAGAGAAATCTTCTTATGAAATGTGCTTTTGTTTTTAGCTCATGTTTTATTAGCTTATTTATTTGGGCCCAATTTTTTTGTTTTGTTTTTGTGTAAATACTTGTGCATTTTGKAATTTTTGTCTTATAACAGGTCTCTCTTGGAAATGAGATTCCRGATCTCAATGAGACTATAAATAAAGGTCAAATAAAATGAAAAATGAATTTTATGTCCCTTATGTAACTATAACTTGAATATGTTTTAGTTTAAAAAAATCTGTCAGTGTCCAAACAGATATGGACCTAAGTTTATATATTTCTGTCCCTGTGTGAAACCCATTATGTCTTTAGAGGGTAGGTCTTTGTGTTTGTTACTAAAGGAGTTTTTTTTGTGATGCAACACTTGCAGATATTATCTTTACATTTAAAAAGGTAGTTATATGACCATACTTTCACACAGCCCTGATACTGAGACATCAGTCTTCCACGGCAGATATTATCAAAGTGAAGGAGAATATTAATTTGACAAATCCTTACAGGTATGGAGGACCAAAACTGACAAAATTGGAAACAAAAAGCAGAAATATATAAATGGCGGCAAGAAGGAAAACACTTACCTGTGCCTTTGTTTTAAACAAAACTTTAAACTTTAAGCTGAACTGAGGCAGCAGCAGCATGCACAGTAGATCTGCACATGGATCCTGCTYCTTCCTGTCTATTGACCAATAGCAGGAGAGCTGACCCACGAAGGCCCACCCACCTTTTTTACATAATGAGGCAGGAATGCATAAGGTAATGCAAAGGAAACATAAATGTAAAAGCAACACAAGGAAATAAAGACTTGTGGAGAAAATTAAAAAAGAAAAAAAAATGTATAGGTCTTCTGGACGGATTCTTCTCTAATGAAACGTTTCGTCTCTCCTCCAAGAGACTTCTTCAGTCTGAGAGTTTCAGGCAAAATTCAGGCTTTTAAGCCCTGCCTCCATGTGAC